TCCCCAGGGCCATCTCACATTCGTGCCCCCCAGATAGCACTCCACTGGTCCTAAACATCTTCTAAAGGACCAGCTGCCAACACCCGCCACCTGCTAGACATCCAGTCTCCGGCCTCTGTGGGCTTCCACATCCTCCCACGGAGAGCTCACTTTGCTACCCTCCCCTTCCTAGTCTAGTCCTTTTGCTTTATATCGACCACCTGTTTATTATGTTCTCAGCTATTTCCATCTCCAACAACAGGTGGGTCCTGTCCCCCTGGGGCTCATGTCTGCTAGGTTGGAAAGGCATCTGGTTACACCAGGAGAGGTTTGGGTTTGGAGGGTGGGTGGATGGATGGATGGATGGCAGGAGGCAAGTGAAGAGAAAACAAGTCATAGGTTATTCCCAGCTGTGGAAGGACATTACTATGTCTGGGATAAAACAAGGCAGGCTAGGAGCCAGCCCTCTCAAGTTCTTGGTCGGGGCGAGGGGGAGCCGCTGGATGTCTGATCTCCTTGCCAGCCCAGAACGCAACTTCTCTTCCCCCTTTGTTCACCCTTGTGAGTTCTACCACCCGGCATTCAGCATTATTTAGCCTGAAGAACCACTTGCTGAATCTGTGCCATTTTTCCAGAATTAAAAAAAAAGGGGGGGGGGGAAGGAACTACAGCCCAGATTGGATTCTGCAAGAAAAAAATGGCCTTCTGCCACTTCTGCAACCTACTTTGTGCAAAGCCAAGTAGCACAGATGTATTTCTATGCATGTTTTTGTTCTTACTTTTTAAGCAGATATACACGATTGTGCAAATTGCCCTTATGGCTGGCTATGGTCTTTTTGCTTCCTTGATGTGTTATTCTATGCCTGCATTCTGCTTTTGCACCCCTTGCGGGACAGTTCAGTGCCAGGGCAATCTTCAAAACGGCAGGAGCCACTGGGCATGATCTCTCATGGGCATCTCTTCAGATCCAGCACGCTATTTTCTTTGACTAAAGCTGTCGTGGAAATAAGTGGCAGAGTTCCAATATTTGTACAAAGCATATACTTCAGACTCTGGGTGACTGAACTGATTTGTGAAGGTTCTTTGTGCGTAGACACATATGAATGCAGTGAGGAACATGCTTGTATGACTTTGAAAGAATACAAGGGGTTGGGCTAGAACTTTTTTCCTTGATATGTCAGTTTTTGCTTGGGCGAAAGGAAGTGTAGGTTTTGTGTGTTTTGCTTTTATGCAGAAACATTTAGAAATGACACATTAATGTGGTGCACCTGATGTGGTGCATTCCTTCCATCGTTTTCACATTTCTACCACTTCAATCAGCTGCCTCGAGTAATAATCCTTAAACTTGGCCCTTTTAAGATGTGTGGATTTCAGTTCCCAGAATTCCCCAGCCAGCATGGTGGTTGAGAACTACTGGCCTAGGCAGGGGTAGGCAACCTTGGCTCTTTTATGACTCATGGACTTCAACTCCCAGAATTCCTGAGCCAGCATAACTGACTCAGGAATTCTGGGAGTTGAAGTCCATGAGTCATAAAAGAGCCGAGGTTGCCTATCCCTGGCCTAGAGAAACAAGACTTTCCCCCGGGATTAGCATTTATGATGTAAGGAGAAAACCCTGTGAAAATGGGATTTCTGGGACGATTAAGTCTTGATATTGCAGATGAACTGGATGGCTGTCCACAGTGGGGCAAGACCCCTAAAAGTCTTGGTTGAAATACTTGGAGCCCTTCTACGATTTCTAAATTAATACAGGTAGTTCTTACAACTTACAACCATTTGTTTAGCGACTGTTTGAAGTTACGACCGTGCTGAAAAAAGTGACTTTCCCAGCCGGCTTCGGACAAGCGAAGTCAGTTGGAAAGCCCTCAGCAAAAGACACAAGTTGCAGGCAAGTGATGTCTGGCTTAATGACCATAGCAACAAAAGTTAAAATCGGATGTGGGCATATGATGTCTCACTTAGCGACTGCACTGTTTAACAAATTTTCTGTTTCCTGTAGTGGTCATAAGTCAAGGACTACCTGTAGTTGTAAACATTTGAGTCTGAGTTCTTGGTTGATTGTATATTTCTTTTAATATAATTAATTAGGTTTTGAGGTAAACCACTCCAAATCTGTTTAGGAGGATGAGAATGGAGATGAAACCAATCAACAAATAAAGACAAATGATAAGCCTAAACAGGAAAATTAAATACATAGGAATAATCCTATCATCTGCATGTAAATAAATCAATTCCATTTCAATCCAACTGAGCTTTGCCCAGTTCATTATATAGTCTCTGCCATCTTTGGGAAATCTATCCCCACCTGTCACTCTACTCAAAAGACCAAAGATGACTCACTCCCCCCACCCCCCCAAATATTGCTCATCCTTGGTTTAGAAAGACTTCGTCCTTTGACCTCGGTAGAGGTCAGAGATTTAGCAGAGGCTGTGCCATCTCATTGTCCCCCATACTCTTTCTTTGTGTTCTGCCTGCACTTGACTGCCTTGGCATGACCGATTAAATGTGTCTTTGAACTCTTTGATCCTCCTCCAATCCCTCCTCTTCCCAAATGTGAGATCTAAAAGGGTCTCCTGTGTTTCTTTTGCCTCCAGCCAAATCTCACAGGACACCCTCCACCATTTCCCTTTGAATCTTCAAAGCTCTTGCATGCTTTAACTGATTACACATTTAGCATCTCTAATCTCGTTTTGGCGGGGTGGGACCTCCGTCGGAACTCTCCTCAGGGAGAAGAAGGTTCGAACAGAACAGTGCGAACGAGACTACAAAAAGGTCGAGGTGTAAAGTCCTAACCCTCCCCTTCCTTTCTTCCCCGTCGACCTCCAGAGGACACTTGAAGGGTCTTCTGGAGTTCCAGAGAAGAGGTCGACGTCGAGAAGTTTGAAGGAAGTTAATTCTGACCAAAGCGAATTCCCTAGATTATGGGTAAAAGAGAAGCACAACTATTTTTTCAAATTTTCTGCCCCAAAGTTATAACTTGTTTTGACAGAAGCTCTTTCTGTGAAGAAACAGAGGGAGTTTTCTTCACCAATAAGAAATCAAGGGCTGAATTCACCCATCAGCAATCCTCTAAGAGTGAGAGGTTAGTTTTAAGATTGTTCGTCTATAGAGGTTTTCAGTCATCCAGGTCATAGTTATCCCAAAGATGCTTTTTCATGAGGCAACTGGACTTTCTTGTATTTTTTTTTGAAGATGTTTTGCTTCTCACTCAAGAAGCTTCTTCAGCTCAGATTGGATGGTGGAGAATGGAAGAATTTATACTCCTTGCAGACAGCTGGCATTTGCATTCTTTTAGAGAGTCCTTGAAGCTACGTGGACGTTTATCTGTGTTGTCAGGGTCACCTGAGTAGTGCAAATGGATGTGGAGCCTTCTTAGAACTGTTGAAAGGACTGTGTTGTAGATTGGAGATAGATGGTGTCGTATCCCCCCCCCCCTCAGTTGAGAGAGGGCTGTTCAGTTTTGACATAAATGGCCTCTTTGACCCCTCTTTCAAACCAGTGGTCCTCTCTGTCCAAAATGTGGACTTTGTGTCTTCGAAAGAGTGGCCTTTGTCTTTTAAATGCAGATGGACTGCTGAATCTTGTCCTGATGTTGTCCTATGTTGCGCCCTGTGTTTATGAAGATTGTTTAAAAATTTGGGACCTCTTCCTCATCTAGAAATGAAGTTCCAGAAGTCATGATGATATAGGATGTCACAGCTGTACTGCATAGTCCTAATTGGGACTGGCAACTCTGTCATTAACAGTTACTAAATGAAACTACGACTGCATTTGTGGTCTTATTTAAGCTTTCTTTTGCTTTATAGACCTAAATATGAGGAACAGTCTTAAACTTACTTTTTCATCACAACTGTTAACTGTGAACAATCACTAAATGAGAGCAGTAGCTAAACAAGGTCTACTTTCCCATTGTGTCAGTCTTATCAATGTCATTGTTATCCCTCTCTAAGAAAAAAACATTCAGTGGGATTTCCTGATTATAATTGCAACACTCATTGACAACCTGAGTCAATTAAGGGCATTGGCTGCATTCACACAACTTAACCTGAATTAATTTTCCTGGTTTGCACGATGCACTGAATCATTCATTAACTAAAGAAGTTAAATTCACCCAACACACCAACTCACAAAAATTGACAGAGGTTAAAAATAACCAAGCTTAGTAACTTGTATGTGAATTTGCTATATTTTAACTGACTGACTGAACCTTGTTGTATGGACAAGCCACTAATCTCTGACCAGAAGGCTTAGGTTTTTTAAATTTGCAAGCCCTTTGTTTTCTTGATTATGTAATTTGTATCTGTACATATATTTGTGTGTGTATATATGTGTCTCACCAGGAACTGGTTGCCTTCTAGATGTTGCTGAACTATAACTCCCAGAAGTCCCAGCAGCTATGGCCAATGGCTGGGAGTTAGAGTTTCAGCAATACCAGGAGAGCCACAAGTTTTTCATCCATGAAGAACTGTGGATTGTTTTCCTGGCAGGCTATCATAAGTTCCTTAGATGACCTTGAGCTGGTTACTATAGCTCAGTTTAACCAAGCTCTCTGGGTTGTTGTGAGGACAACTTTGTTTGTATGTAATAGCTTCCCGGGGGATAGCTGTGTTACTCTTCTGCGGCAAAATCAAAACAGACTCTTACGCCACTTCAAAGGCAGATATCTATAGTTTTTGCGCATCGCAGTTCAGTTTATCGAATGCATATGATAGAGAATTGCTGTGGTTCTCAGGAGAGAAAAGGAAAGGGGGATTGTTGATCAGAGATATGCCTTTGGTTGGAAGTGACCAAACACTTATGTTTCATCATAAAGCAGCAATCAAATATGACTTAGGTGTGAAGAGAAGGCATTGCTTGGCTGACTTTGCTAAGAGTTGGATCTGAGAAGTTGAAGAACATCCATGCAATCATCAAGAGTTGATGATTTGTCTCAAAATAGCCTTGTGTGACTTTGTTCTTCAGTGAATGGGGAGGAAATGCACGATAATAACCATCACCACCCCTATATAGAAAATTAAAAGATGCAGGAGAAAACATGGAGAAACCTGCCTCCTACCATTTCTCTTCCCTCTGATTACTCCCCAGAATTATCTGAATGTTTTATGGTGAATGGAGCTGATTATCGGGGATTGCAGAACAGAACTGCACCTGGATCCGCTGGGAAGCCTTGCCTCTACTGGAACCAGACACGAGAACATGCCTACAACACGGCCAAGTATCCCAATGGCGAGTGGGGGCTGGGCAGTCACAATTACTGCCGAAATCCGGACGGTGATGTACAGCCTTGGTGCTACATCTCAGAGAACGAAGAAGGGATCTACTGGAAGTATTGTGACATTCCAACCTGCCACAGTAAGTGTTGGACCTTGCACTAAAATTGGGGGAATCAGCCAGAGTTTAGCAAAAAAAAATAATTGGTCCCAATGATGGAGAATATTTATAGCTCAGGGTTGAAATGAGGGGTCCTTGGTACTCTCTGAGTTTGCTTGTTTCCTTGCAGACGTTTCATTACCCTGACTAGGTAACACCATCCGTGCTAGTAAGGAGTTCTTGAGTGCTTGAGAAGCCTGATTTAAAGACCTTTAAGATTTATATAAACTGACAGCAAATAGCAGTCCTTACTAGCATGGATGATGTTACTAAATAGGGTAATGAAACATCTGCAAGAAAAAAGCAATCTCAGAGAGCACCAAAGACCCCTCAAAGCTTGGTCCACTCTGTAGGAAAGTTAATAATTGGTGGACCTTCTCAGAAGTTGAACATCCTTTTCTCAATTGCTTGCTGGTTCTGCTTGGAGTCTCTAACCCAGCTTTTCCCAAATTGGTGTCCTATAAAGGCCAGAATGGGTAGAAATTATGGAAGTCCCATTCTTATAGTTCTCTGACACTGTGGTCCTACTGTTCTCCTTCAAACTGACAAGCAGATTCCATTCTGATCAATCACCAGCTCAGAAGAAAGATTTGCTTGCTTTGAAATTTATTTCAAAGGAGAAGAACATTTTAATGAAATTCTTATAGATGGAGTGTTGTGATTTGCCTTTATTATGGGAGACCAAGAGTTCTAGGTGAAAATCCAGTCTTAGTCTTTGCTTCAAAGGTAGTCCTCCAAAGGCAGGGGTGTTCCTTCTACTGTCCCTTTTCATATTTTGAAGTTTGGGCATCCAGGGCAACTTTGAAGTCAAAGAAACAAAATGCAGCTGTAGCACCCTTCTCAGTTTCAACAGGAATGTACTGTAAACCCAATACATCAAGAAGAGGTGTATTGGAATGCAATTTTCAAGCCTCAGAAAAATACAGAAAAACATGAACAGCTCTTACAGGGGAAAACACTTCAGAGAAAGTGCAAGGCAAAAGTTGGTATTAAATCTGTTGTACCTGAAGAGCAACAATTTTGAGACAACTGCCTCTGATGCCTTTCACTCAAAACAATATGGCAGTTTTACTCAACCTTGACAACTTAAAGATGGGTAGATTACAACTCCCAGAATTCCCCACATCTGGCTGCATACGGTCAGTTTGTATCACAAGTAGTCATCACTTGTTGACTGCCTTGTTTAGTGACTGCTTGAATTTATGAAAAACAGCTTTGCAACCAATGTTTACATTTTCAGCCGTACAGTGTCCCGTGGTTAAGTGATTGCCATTTGTGAGCTTCAAAATCAGCTTCAAAAACAAGCACAATTAATGGAGAATGCGAAAGTGAAACCCCAAGTCGCAATCATGTGATGTTTCACTTACTGACCATGGTGATTTGTGTAATGATGGAAGCAGAAGTGACATCAAAGGTCCAGCGCAGTCATGTGGCTTTTTTTGGCTTAGTGACTGTGGTGCTGAACTACAGAATTGCAAGTCCCAACTGTGGTTGGTAAATGAAGATTACTTGTAAAGTCCTACAGTTGTGCAGTGTTGCGATACCTTCCTGTATAAACATTCAAAATGTCTACCCTCATCCTCCATTGTTTCTTTCAGTGCCTGGCTATGTTGGGTGCTTCCTGGATTCTGGTACTCCCCCAACACTAAGTGGGAGCAGTGGCACCTCCACCAAGCTCACAGTGCAAGTTTGCCTCAGTTTCTGCCGCAAACGAGGCTATAAGGTACAGGAGGCCTTCACAGTCCATTGAAGAGGTTGCTTCAAATGGCAATCCCAACCTGGGTTTGTCTAGGTGTGTTAGAACTACATCTCCCAGAATTCCCAGATAACAGACTGGCTAGAAAATCTGGGCTGGACTAAGAATTCAGGAATTGAGTTCTTAAACAGACCGGATACAATTAGATGACATTGGTTGAGAAAAAGGGAGCTTTTTAGATTAATATAAAATAATAAATAAAAGCCAGGGAGTGATTCCACCCAGTTCCCACTTATTCTCCTCTCCAGCCTAGGGAAAAAACGCCAATGAAAAGGATTTCATTCTTTCTAACCTGCCACACTGGAGTTGTGTGATGCAACACTGGGCTTGTTTTTAATTTAAACATAGAATCCTGACACTGTTTCCAATACTGTATGCTTTTAGATTTGTCTTTCCTAATCTGACTGGGTCTGCAAAGCTTGAAAAGACTGATTTAAAGACCTTTAAGATTGGTATATATAAGGATAGGGGTCTTCAAACTTGGCTCTTTTATGACTTGTGGACTTCAATTCCCAGAATTCCTCAGCCAGGCATGCTGGCTGAGTAATTTTGGGAATTGAAGTCCACAAGTCATAAAAGGGTCAAGTTTGAAGACCCCTGTATAAGGATGTAGCCTGGTTCAAAGAGATACAAAGCAGTGCTCTGGCACAGCTAACAAATTTAGCCAGTATGGCATTGGAGACCATTAGGGGGTTCTGAATACAGAACTGATGAATTTATGTATTGATTTATTATTATTGATGAATAAAGAAATTTGGAACACAACCAAGTTTAGTGACTATTTCTCTGTCTGGGAACCAAAAAGCTGTCATTCCCTGAATAAAAATATTTGGTAGAGAAGCTCCATTTGTAATTTCAATCTCTTTTTCATTTGATCTCTTAGTGTCCCATTAAACTACAGATCCCATTAAGAACGGCTATGACCATTTTTTTTTTTTTTCTATTAATGGGTAACCTCATATTTCAAGAAAAACTGTTAAGGCAGCTATAGAGGTCCTGCTGGCCACTGATCCATGGTTATTAATAAAGAGATATCTGTTTAATATTGATATACGGACTGTTGATTTGCCAACTTTTCTGAACTGATCTTAACTATTGGGCCTTGAGCAGTTGCTGCTTGATTTGATGTGCAATAGTGCATATCTCCATGCCATAAAAAGCTTTCCTAATTGATTTGTTTGCTGATCACAGCACCATCAGCACTTTGCAGGTGACCAGCTCTCCACCCTTCATTTGTAATTCAAAGTACAACATCTAAACAGCAAATCAAATGATGACCTCAGAGTAAGGCAGAGCTAGTTCACACGAAAGGCCTGAATCTTGATTTTCTTCACTCGCTCTGGGCATGTGCCTTCACTGATCTACTTTTTCCCCTTATTTGGATTGGTCTTGCACCCTTTCTAGTCTTCTCTGACAACTGAGTAGACACATGTTATCCCCCTTCTCTATTTTCATCCCATCAGCCCAATTCTTGGCACCCCGTGAAACAGAGCTCAGCCATCAAACAGCATTTGTTTTGTCGTTCCAGGCTATCAGTTTTTATTAGCGCAACAAATGCACAGTTGTTACCCATTTGTCACACTTGGTTCAGACGGCTGCCCTCATGGTTATGCTTCTGTTCTGGAGATACTGAATTTAAAGATTTGTCTATTTTTTTAATATCTGGGAAAGCATTATTCAATCTGGTTACTTGATTATGTCACCTGTTTAAGCTTTCTCATTTGGAAATAGCAAGACTTTGGGGCTCTTGCAGGTAATTTTGGCTCTTTTCCTATAATCTTCCATATCTTTTATTTTATGGAAACATAAATCTGCTGTTATTACTCTGCATAATTGCTCCATAGAAAGTAAACCATTTCTTCTGGCCTTAAAGTGGACGACTAGCTCAACGGTTTACCATGCAAATACAATCTTCATAGTCTGTAAACCATGATTTATGGTCTAGCATATTGAGTGAACCCAACCAATTTGGCTTATTCAGTAAACCATGATTAAATCAAGCATGGCTTTCAGTCTACAAGTATATCATAGGAAGACTTGAATTTCCTTCAAGACTATTGCTTGTCCTATCCTTGTTTCCTTGTAAGATTTCACGTTTCATCTTCTTACCATAGCAATGCAGTTAAAGAGATGGGTCCATCTTAAATCTTCTCTTATTTTCTTCTGCCTCTTTGGAAGTTTGCTGGAGTAGAAGCTGGTTATGCCTGTTTCTGTGGCCATGAAGGAGATATCCGGCACAGCCAGCAAGTGAGTGCTGTGGAATGTGATCAAGTCTGCTTTGGCAAGTCCAGTGAACTGTGTGGAGGAGATGGCCGGATCGGCATATACAATGGTAAGTGTGAGAACTGGATCCATATCTTTGGTAAAGATGTACCTGGTACAACTAAATGCCTATAGATCAGGGGTAGGCAACCCAAAACACTCAAAGAGCCACTTGGACCCATTTCCCACCAAAAACAAAACACTGGGAGCCGCAAAACCCTTTTGATATCTAAAATGAAGCTAACACTGCATGTATCCTTTTTTATCTTTTATACACACACACACATACATATATCATAAAGGTAAAAAAGGATATATGCAGTGTTATCTTCATTTTAGATGTCAAAAGGGTCTCTCTGTCTCTCTCTCCCCCCCCCCTCTCTCTCTTTCCCCTCTCTCTCTCCCTCTCTCCGATCTTCTGCTCACCTGGCAAGCTGGTTTCAGGCTGTTCTCCAACAAGCTCAGGGGTAGGCAACCTCGGCTCTTTTATGACTCATGGACTTCAACTCCCAGAATTCCTGAGTCAGCATAGCTGGGCTAACTAGCTCTCTCCTGCCCTTCCTGCTTCCTGCAGAGACGCAGCAAAGGGAGGAGCTCCACCCAATAAGCTTTTTAGCTCATCGGAGAACACCGTGAGTCCACTCTCTTTTTTACACACAAACAAAAAAATACACACACAAACACAGAGAGAGAGAGAGAGAGAGAGAGAGAGAAGGGAAGTGCCTCTCTCTGTCTCTGTCTCTCTCTGCAAATGGCAGAGGAGGCTGGGAGCCACAGGGGAAGGCTCAAAGAGCCACATGCGGCTCTGGAGCCGCAGGTTGCCGACCTGTGCTATAGATGAAACTTCCTTCCTCTGCATATTACACGTTGAAGGCCATCCAGTGAAGTTGACGGGGTTTAGAAATAACTTCAATACACTTTTAGAAAGACAAAGGCAAGTCATCTTCTTATTCAAGGATTTGGAATCCAAGTCACCCTAAGTCAGGGGACCATAACCGCTGGGCTATGGCCCACTGCTGGGTCTTCAGCCGTTTGGAACTGGGCCGCAGAAGTGGCGGGTGAGCGCGCACACACATTGTTTGAGCAGCAGGTGAATGTGTGCATGTGCGCTCCATTTGCTCGAGCAGCAGGCAGGCTTGCCTGCTTGTGCAAATGGAGTTGTGTGTATGTGCTTGCCCGCCCCTTGTGTGGAACCATCCCCTCCCCTCCACCGATCCACAGAGCGGGAAAGATTGAGGGAACTCTGCCCTCATACTGAACTACCTTAGACTAGGGGTTTTTCAGAAGTTTCATATTGTTTATAACAGTATTTCTCAGCAGCTTGAAAATGTACAGATTTAGACTTCCAGAATTCCCCAGCCAGCATTTGGGAGTTGAAGAACTGAATCTTCAAACTGCCAAGGTTGAGAAACCCTGTTCTATGCACATACTGAGGCCATGTTGACGTATAAGGTCTGAGATTGTCATTGCCCCTCCCTGTGTCCCCATGATACTGTGAACTCTCTGTGAGGCTTTGAAAAGTGATCCAATTAACTGCTGGCTCATTTCATGCTCCAGAGAAAACATTTCTCCTTGTTTCACTTCCTAAATGCTGGAATTTCTTTCTTCTTCCCTTGCCACCATTCTATAGTTGCAGCATGCAAGGGCTGGACAGGATTTTTTTATTATTATTAAAAATTCTTCTCGTGAAAAGGAAAATGTGAAAAGGAAACAAGGAAGGTAGAAGATTGCCAGCTTGCTGCCTTTTCTTGGTCTCTTTCATTGGTCAGTTGGAGGAAGTGCCAGTCAGCTGACAGGACGGAAGGTGAAATCCTTGGTGAATCCATCACACTGGCATAAGAGAAGGTTTAAGTTGGACACTGGCATGAAAACACTGCGTACATTTGGAGGGGTAAATCAGCGACTATAGAGAAGAGGATAAAGTTCCATCAAAATTGAGTGGGATGGAATCCTGAGAAGAGACATTCATAGATTCAGAGGCATCTGAGGCAAGAGGGGTAGGCAGGGTGAAAAAAAATTGACAAAAACAGTGTCACGCTATCATGAAGCACTCTTTCGTGTGCCCTGTGTGACCTTGCACACACCTGCAAAAGGAGATGAGCTTGCCTTGTAGCAGGTGCAACTTTGTTTAAGATGACAGCCTCCAATCCTGCAGACTCTTCTGCGTAAAATGTGTTTTCTCTAGTGGAAACTGATGCTGCAGCGTAATAGCTTTTATACCTGGGATTAGAAAACTTCCAGTGCTAATGATGCAGGAATGTACTTGAGTTCATATTTTGCCATAGAGAGTAATAAATATTTGCAAGTTTCATTTGCAAGTGCCATAACCCTTATTATACAAATGGGAAGGCCATTTTAAGAACGAACTCTTGCATATTTTTTGGTATAGGAGAGAAGGATGTATTTACTCCCATCCTGCTAGTTTTATGTTCTCAACATCTGGAGTGTAGTTATTTATTTTAACTAGAGTTAGTTTTCAAGAACTTTGCTTTGTCTTCTTGTTTATTTAAGATGCAGTTGGGCTCTTTTCCTTCCGGAATTTGACTCTGACAAAGTCTGTTCGCAACTTAGTATTATTTCCATTTTAATTAGTTTTTAACAACCATAACAAGCTGGGATCTATAGAGGAGCTCCTTTCACATGTAAGGCAGTGCACTGACAGTTTTCCATAATTCAGTTGCAGCTTAGAAGGCACATGACAAACACAACAAGGCAGTGTTTGCTTTGTTTAGAATATGTGCATGAGATGCACACTGAGCAATTATGAGAGAAGTGGGAGGTGCAAAAAAAGGTTGTGTGTTTTTTATGACTAATAGCTCTGTAATTGCAAACTCCAACTTGGCCTTTTAAATCTGTTTTTCTCTTTTGAATTGTTGTTTGTTCCTTTAAATGTAATAGTTTTATTTTAAAAAGGAAAGGAAAAAGTTCTTCTAGCTGTATCTTCTTGAGGCTGTATGATTAGGAGTGCTACTATCTATAACTTCCAGAGTCCTTCCCTTATTCTGCTGTCAGTTTTATATCCTCACCCTAGTCCATTCAATTTCATGTGTCTTTGTCATTTTACTATGCTAACTAGACTAAGACATTTGAAATTGATTCCACTTTACCCCAAAATATCCTAAAAGTAAAATCAGTAGTACTGCTTTGAAATATCATGTGTTATATACAAATTTTTTGACCCCCCCCCAAAAAAAACCCCAACTAGCCAGAAGGGTGGGAGGAACAGTTTTGATTAAAAAATAAATAACAGGACAATTGGAGCCTTCTTTGCATGGTTCATCAAATTAAGCAGCCGAAAACACTAATATAGATAGCCTTTGATTTAAAACCACCATTGGGACCAGGATTTCTATTGCTCAGCAAGGCAGTTGTTAAGTGAGACATACTTGATTTTACGACCATTTTTGCCACGGTTGTAAGCAAAGCACAGCAGTTTTTAAATTAATCCAGCTTCCCCCATTAGCTTTTCATTTCAACTGAGAATGTCACAAATGGCAATTACATGACCTCAGGATAGTGCAACCATCATGAATACATGCCAGTTGCCAAGCACCTGAATTTTGATCACATGACTGTAGAGATGCTGGATGTTGCATATGCAAGGACTGGTCATAAGTCACTTTTTTCAGTGCCATTGTAACTTTGAACGGTTGCTAAATGAATGGTTGTAATTCAAGGACTACCTGTACCATATTTGAAGGTCTGTCTCAAGAGCTGGCATATATTGGCATAAATATTGGGGGAGGGAGAATCACATATTATTTGGTCAATCCCTTTGGCTGGTCATTGGGGACTCAGGAGTTGTTTACTATATAAATAGGAAAGGTAGCTTAAAATGATCCAGCTATTTCACAATCAGATTTGATTAGAATTAAATTAAATTAAATTAACTCCCCCTGGACAGTTGTCACCCATGCAACTAGACTGAGGAGAAATGAATGGCCAATTCTGAGGTGACATCCTAAAGAAGAGTAGATTTTCTTTAGCGTCATCATCTCTGACCATCTCATAATCTCTGACAGCATTCTGATTTTCACACAGATATACCTGTGACTACATGGGGGATTAAAAAGAGGCCCCAAAGGATGAGAGTGAGTAGAACATACCCTTGTCTAGCTTCTCCACAGTCAGACAATCTAGTTGTGCCTTCTTTGCAATGGCTGTGGATATTTAGCCATGTTTTATCTTGTTCTGCCAGCCTCTGAATTCAACAAGTCAACTGCCTGGGAGAGAATGGCTCCAGTTGTCAAGAGCTTTAGCTTTTGTGCACCTGGGAATCTTGGTCCTTACGAACATTTGTTAGTTCTAGGTAGCTCTGACTGAGCATGCTGGCTGAGGAATTCTGGGAGTTGTAGTCCACCACATCTAAAAGTTGCCAAGGTTGAGAAACACTGCTCTATACACCCAGTACCTAAGTGTCTTCCTAACCTAGAATCCACTGAACATCTTTTCCGCCTCCCAAATTCACTGAGCACCAACATGGGAACCCTTCAGGCATATAGCAGTCATGCCAGTCCAGCAATTGGAATCATGGCAATGTGTTCCCACAACTGATTTTTAGTGCTGGAGCTCTATGGAGGTTTGGCTGGACTGTTTTTCTGTACATGGAAACTTGCCTCTCCACCTGGCATTTGCTAGGATTTTTTTTTTCTTCCATTCAACCGCGTTTGATTCTCAGAGACTGTCTGGACAAGTCCCTATAGTTTTCTTGGCAAAAAAGTTTTCAGAAGTGATTTGCCATTGCCTTCTTCCTAGTTGGATTTGTGCTTAAGGTGGGATTAAAACTCATGGTCTCCCAGTTTCTATCCTGATGCCTTGACCACCATACCAAACTGGCTCTAGGATAGCCACCCTCAAATTAGCATCCTTTGTGTATTAAATCCCAGCTATCAGAGAACCTGGTTTGAGGCAGCATCTGGAAGGAGCGGCAAGAGGGGCAGATTGACAGAAGCAGGATGATGGTATCAAGATGTAAGGCCTACCTATTTTCTGATGGAAATTCAAGGCTCCATTGTAATATAAGTCAAGGACTGTCTGTGTTTGATCTTTTTTCCCTAGCCCAGGGGTAGGCAACCTTGGCTCTTTTATGACTCATGGACTTCAACTCCCAGAATTCCTGAGCCAGCATGGCTCAGCTTGGAAACCTCTCCCTTTCTCCTCAGCATGGCTGGCTCAGGAATTCTGGGAGTTGAAGTCCATGAGTCATAAAAGAGCCAAGATTGCCTACCCCTGCAGCCTAGCCTAAACCTTTGGGAGGCTGATCTAGTCCTGAATTTTCAGGACTGTTAACATCACACTTAACTAGAGCCTGGATGTTTTTCCTTTTTTTTTTCAGTATCCTCCCCTTTTTCTTGTAAGACTGTTTCTCAACTTGGGGAGGAGAATTGCATCCCACGTTGACTGCTTCTGCATGCCACCATTGGTATGTGTCCTCCTGGTTGAGAAACCTCGATCTAATGGATTTCACAACCTTATCAGCGAACCCAATCTTAATTCTCCTAGCAAGTTTCACCATACCTCAGAACTGCCCCACAACATTTTTCCACCTTCTTTAAGAAGTTTCCACAGAAGGGCAGGCATCACCCTACAATATTATGCTGACTTTGAGAATTTATATATGCAGAGGGAAAAAAGGATATAAAAGAAGCTTCCCCTAATACCAGTAATTTAGGGATGTTTTTACACAATGCCCAACAACAAAAGCACACAGTATGTATGGAAAACATGGAGGTAGGTTTAGAATTTGGATTCCCCCCCCCTTTCAGTTTGGGTCAGAGGCAAAGGAGAGTTTGTGGCTCCCGGAACTGCTGTAGCTCAGAGCACAGGTCAAGAATAAATGGTATTTTTTGTGCTCATTTTTTTGTTAACTTGAGGGATTGGCTTATGATATTCCTGCCTGTCCTCAGAGTTCCAGGGAAGGCCAACAATCTCAGGTGTGTTTCCAAATTTAATGGGGGTGGGAGGGTGGGATTGGGAAGTAGAATCGGTGCTCTGTGGAAGTTCTGTAAAATTGAGATAGTTTAATGAAGCACATGTACATCCCATCAAAGTGAGCTACTTAACTATGCAGAGTACTGTTTTATGCATATGATTCTTCAAAACAGCTGCAGTCCTGGGTTCCACCTCCCTCTTATCTCAGAGGTTTCACACAGAAATGGATGAGCTTATGAAGCATAATTGTTAAATCTCAGCCAGCTGCAAGATGTAAGAATATTGCTTGCATAGGAAAAGATCCAACTGTTCATGTAGGTGGATCTTAACTTTGGCCAGGTTATAACAACTCCGTGGTAGTTGGATGCAACGCTTAGTACTCCCTATTAATTGCCTTTAGCATTATGATGTGGGATGTAGTACTGTAGCTGTTGACAAGCTTGATTCAGATCTAAGTTCAGCCAAGCGCTTACTGCTCAGCCTTAGGCAAGTTGCTTAGGCATTCAGCTTTCACCAGCCCTCTATAATCATTAAGGTTATGCAGCAATCCAGGTTCAAAGGTCTACACTGAATTTGTAGCATATGTGGATGTGCACATAGCGTTTGTTGTGAACACCTTTTCCTGGAATTGTGTGAGTGAAATTGGGTATAAATCTAATAATAATAAGTAGGATATGTCAGGGTAAGAATATTGGTTATATACTAGCGGGAGGTGGGTTAAATTTAAAAATGGGAGGAACCCCTTTCTCCATTTTTATGAGAACTCAACTGGCTATCAAGATAGGTGTAGCAGTAATATGGAAGGCTGGAGATCTCAAGTCTTCTCTCCTAGGATACGCATATCCTGTCCTCGCCACCCACAAGCTCAGAGAACGAACCTTCACCCTCAATAGACCAATTTCACAAAAGATAAACAATAAAAGTTTACTGACAAGAAGTCAAGTTAGGATAATAGGTAGTCCTTGTTTAAAAACCATTCGTTCAACCATTCAGAATTATGATGGTGCCGAATGAGAAGGACTAGTTCGCAATTACAATGTCACAGCACTTCAGTCACATGATTGCTATTTGTGACCTTCACAGTTGACTTCCGACAAGCAAAGTCAATGGGGAAGCCAGCAGGAGGTCTCAAATGGTGATTATGTGACCACAGGGCATTGTAACCTTTGCAAGATTCATCAAACAGCAGAAACTGGGACTGCCCAGTTCATCTAATGACAGCAACTGGGACTGCCAGAGCTGCTGTCATAAGTCAGTGTGGTCATATGATGTTGCACTATACAACTGTGTCACTTAACAACAGTTTCGAATTCCAATTACTGTTGGTAAGTGAGGATTAACTGTGTACAAACAAACCTCTATTTACTATAAAAAAAACTATTTCTTCAATCAAAAAAGAAAAATTTGCTGAGTAAAGTTCTGTGCTCTCCAGTAGACAAAGCAGAAAGGGCCAAGAGACTAGTTCACTTTTTCTCCAGAAACTCAAGCTCCAGAAGAAGATTCCACTGTACCTCCATAGCAGTAACCAAAGATTGTCTGAAAGAGAGTCATCTGTGAGTTTTTATAGATGATGGTAGAATCAACTTTGGGTCTTCCTGGTTCTAATCTAATTAGACATTTTTGGTTGATCAAAATCCTTTAATATTAATTAGTTTAAGAGATATTGTCTGAAATCACAAATTATGTTAAATCATTATGTGGATTTCTCTCTAAACATATTTGGAAGGTCAGAAAGTGTTTATGGTTTGATGCAGAATCACATAAAAAACTAATGCTGAATTATCCAAATTTGAAAATAAAGAATAGGATCTTCTTTTTGAACGTCTGGGCCAAACAAAGGATAAACTCCTTAAGTCAGTTGAATTTTAGTAGTTGTTTTAAATATTCTGAGAGATTGTATTCTGCATATGATTTACCCATAACATCTGTTTGGCGGTATATATCATTGAAACATGTACTGACAAAACAGCACAATCCAGACGCTTTTAGCAGGCTTAGAAGTATCTGGAGTCTTGAGATGCTTAAGAGATGCAGCACTTAAAGTGAACCAAACAATTCAATTTTATATGGGATTTAAAAAATAAAAGGAAGACTAGCTTTAATTACATATATGTACTGTGGAATGAAGAATTGAAATATCCAATTTTGGAAAAATCAAAGGGTGCACCTTTTTAAAAAAAATCGTAAACATACTTATTATTATTTTGAAGAACTTAAGAAATTCAATAGAATGTATTATATTTTATATCTACTGGACTTCTCAAGTAACGTTTAAAAAAGGTTGGACATTAGATTTTTTGTACTGGCATTATAAATATTTTTTAACATCATCTTTGAAAGAAATGGAATGTAAGTGAGATATTGTATTCCTAAAACAGGGAATTTGGTCTTTTACGAAGAGGTTTGGCTATACCCTAAACCTAAACTTTGGTAAAGAGGATGATCTTATATAATTTGAATAAAGCGTACTTTCCCGATATTAAGGAATATCTGTTATCTATTTTTGAAATCTTTTTATTCCAAAAATAAGAAATTGAAGCAATATGTCTCTATACGGTCTACATTTAATGATAAAACTTGAGGACTGAAATAATCTCATACTAATATGAAATGGATATTACATGCATTTGGATCTTTTTAAATTAACTCTTTTTATTTTCTGTTCAGTTACATTTTGTTTATTTTCATCATTAAACAACAGAGTTTTTGTGACTGAATAGCCATTAAGCATCCTTTTATGTTGATGTTGTAGTTCTTTGTATTTCAGTATTTTATCATTTTTTAAATTTAAAAATATCTAAATTTCATAACCTGAAGATGAGCTCAGTTCATCAGAGGCTTTTCCTTTAATATTGATTGCAATTCTGTTCTGATTTTTCTCTTCCCATTCCAGTCTCCATGGGGGCCTGTCAGGGGAACTTCAGTGATCTGTCTGGAGTGATCTACTCTCCGCAGTTCCCAGATGACTATGAGGCCAACAGCAACTGCAGCTGGATCCTTTACCCTGCAGGCTGTGATTCTATAGAGCTCAGCTTCCGGATCTTTGATGTGCGTGATCCAAACGACCGCCTGGAGGTCCGGGATGGACACAGCAATCTCTTACTGGCCCAGTTTGATGGGCGCCGAAGGCCGGGCGCACCTCTGCTGTTCCCCACGGACTGTCTTTCCCTTTTCTTCCAATCAGACCAGTTCCTGCAAGCCCAAGGCTTTGCCATCTTGTATCGAGGTAGGCACTGAACTTTGGCTTCCTGGATGATGCTGCCACCTGACTAAAATGCTAGAGGAAAGTTATATGATGATGTTCCATAGGAGTGCTTTCTCTTTTCCCCTCCCCTTCTTTCTCCCAAGTGGCCCTGCTTTCAGAGGGGTACAGGGGAGACCATCTTAGCAAGATGAATGAAGTCAACTTTTTGGGCAATGTAACCACAGATGCCTTTGACCTGCAAGGCAGTGGATAAACACATGTACTGGTGACATCTTGCCCTTGCACTCTGAGCTCTAATTAGTAGATCCTAGATCCACATGTGTTAGGAGTACAGATGGTTCCGTCTTGGAACATCTTTCAGGATTCCTTGAGAAACTCCAGAAATCTATTACCCAAACATTGCTATCTGGCCAAACTTCTTGAATATGAAAAAATGCTTCTTCCCATATCAATCAATCAATCAATCAATCAATCAGAATAGCTCTGGAAGGGACCTTGGAGGTCTTCTATCCAACCCACTGCTCAAAAAGGAGACCCTATACCATTTTAGACAGGTGCCTGTCCAATCTCTTCTTAAAAGCCTCCATGATAAAGCACCCACAACTTCCAAAGGCAAGCTGTTCCGCTGGTTAATTGTTCTCAAAGGCAAGCTGTTCCGCTGGTTAATTGTTAGGAAGTTTCTCCTTAATTCCAGGTTGCTTCTCTCCTTGATTAGTTTCCATCCATTGTTTCTTGTCTTGCTTTCTGGTGCTTTAGAAAATAAGTTGACCCATTCTTCTTCGTGGCAGCCTCTCAAACACTGGAATACTGCTATCATGTCACCCTATCCTTCTTTTCTTTAAACTAGCCCTACCCAGTTCCTACAACTGTTCATGTGTTTTAGTCTCCCGGCCTTTAATCATCCTAGATGCTATTTTCTGCACTTTTTCTAAAGTCTCAACATCTTTTTTGTAATGTTCCAATTTTTTTAAATTACATTTTTAATTACATTTCTTTTTACATTTAATTAATTTTTTTGTAATATCCCCAAAGGGTTAATTGTCGGCCAGTTTCTATTGACATCCCTTTGAATCTTTCTGTAGTCCCAGATCAGTAATCTGTCTGTGACACCAGGGTTCTTTTTAACAGAGATGGCCAGAGCTGATTTTGCAAGGCTGGGAGGCACAATTGTCTCAGGCTTTCACAAAGTATGGTTCGGTCTTTGAAATGATTGATTGGAACAGTATTTTTATTCTGGTAATGTTAAGATGTAACTGTACATATTCATATTTATAGAGTCACTAATTTCAAAGGGGACTAGAAACTAAATTGATATATTTTGCATTGAGAAGAAAAGAAGGTCAGATGGACATTTTGCTGTTGAGCTTCTCAAAATTTTAAAGGCACCTTGATCTGGCTCCTTTTGCAGTGAAGTTTTTGCTTGGTTGGCTGATTTAAATTCTTGTATTTTATCCAACCTTTCTCTAAAGCAGCGGTCCACAACTTCCACTAATTGAAAAATGGGTCTCTCTATGGGGAAGACTCTAAGGGTTCAAAGGAGATGCTAATGAGCTGTATTTGTTGCATTTATTGCATCTGTGCAACTTGCCCTTACTACAGCTCTCATCATGGCTACACACACATGCACATAGACAGACAAACAGACAATGCAATAATCCATGGTAACGACAGGCTAAATTTCATTAATAAATTATTGTTCTCACTAGGCCATGATTACATTCAGAATCAGTGTATGTTCATGTCAAATCAATGTAGCAAAACTGGTGAGACTGGTGTTACTGTTTAACATATCAGGAAAGCCTGAGATTTTGATGAGAAGTTAAGCTGAAAATCCACTGTAAAATCCTTCATGATTCTGATTTCCTTCCAGGACTGAAAGCTTCCTCGGTCAACTTGCGGACCCTTCCAGGTGATGGATCCCGTCTGACCCCTACCTCTTCCGATTGGCTGAATTCAACCTGGACCTACAGTGCCAATGACTCTGCCATTGGGGTAGGAGGTAAAGGATTAAACTGCGGGGGGGGGGATATTATACTATGAAGCTGTTATATATTATAGCAGGGGTTTTCAAACCTGGCCCTTTTTTGAGTTGTGGACTTCAACTCCCAGAATTCCTCAGCCAGGCACGCTGGCTGAGGAATTCTGGGAGTTGAAGTCCACAAGTGATAAAAGGGCCAAGTTTGAAGACCCTTGTGTATATAGCTTGACTGGCTTTAGGCAAAATAGATTCTTTGACACTGTAGTTTTGCACTGGACAAGGAACCCTTGGAGCCATTCTAGTTATGTCTGCCAAGAAAACCAGGGTGCCATTAAATTTACAATATTTCAAAGAGTGCAATTCGAAGTTAGAGAATACATTTGCAAGATGAAATGTACTTAATTCTTTTTCCTATCTATTTCTTTCTTCTGAATCTAGGATGAGTCAACTCATATGCATAATAGATGAGGCATACGAAGGTTTAATCCACTTTTTTGCATTTTTAAATCCTTCCAGACTTGGAAAAGGGGTTTCAATCCCATCTTTGGTAATAGTATATAGGCGTGGTTTATATATATACCTCCCCTATCCTTCAGGAGCAGAAAGAAATCTAAGGGTCATCCAGAGCTAAAAATGTTGTCTATCCATCTTCTTCCTGTCATAATTTTATTTTTATTTAAAAGCAAGATAAAATACAAAATTCAAAAAAAAATCCAAAAAAGGACAAAAAAACACAATACAATAAAGATATTTAAAAAGTGCATAAAAAAGAACGGGAAAAACCCCCAGCACATGTATACATATTAACCCCTCGTTTACTGAATACTGATTAATACATCCTATCCATCTTCTAAGTCAGTATTTCTCAATCTCAGCAACTTGAGACTTCAATGTCTAGAATTCCCCAGACAACAGCACTGGCTGGAGAATTCTGGGAGTTGAAGTCTATACATCTACAAGTTGCTGAGATTGAGAAATACTGTTCTAAGCAGTCTTTCAGCATTTTCCCCCACAGGGATGATGTTTGAATAACATAATATCAGAGTTGGAAGGGACCTTGGAGGTCATCGAGTCCAACCCCCTGCTCAGGCAGGAAACCCTACACCATTTCAGACAAACGGCTGTCAAGTCTCTTTTTAAAAACTTCTAATGTCGGAGCATTCACAACTTTTGGAGGCAAGTCGTTCCACTGATTAATTGTTCTAACTGTCAGGAAGTTTCTCCTTAGTTCTAGGTTGCTTCTCTCCTTGATTAGTTTCCATCCATTGCTTCTTGTCCTGCCCTCAGGTGCTTTGGAGAATAGCTTGACCCTCTCTTCTTTGTGGCAGCCCCTGAGATATTGGAACACTGCTATCATGTCATCCCTAGTTCTTCATTAAACCAGACGTACCTAATTCCAGCAACCATTTTGGGTATAACCATTTTCAAGAGTAATAATTTGGAATGGAGATGGATGGAAAGCAGATCCAGCAGCCCCCCCCCTCCATTTATTCTTTGCAGAATTTCTCTTTCCCATAAATAGTTCCTGGCTTAAACAAAGAAACAGAAACACACTGGGGTGCACTAAAATATATTCCAAAAACATCTAAAACATATTTTTCAAATGGATAAGAGGAACATTTGAGGAATGGGATCTTTTCACATTTCTATACAAACTATTCCTCCTTCTGCCGATTATGAATTGAAGCCAGGCTATCCATTCCCTCATCACCACACATTTGCAATGTGTATTTATCGAAATGAGTTCACTTAGGTAATCCTCAACTTAACGACCAGTTGCTTAGCAACTGTTTGAAGTTACAATAGATACCAGAGGGGGGGCTACTTATGACCCAGATTCAAACTTCTGTCAATTGCTCCCCCCATGGTCATGTGACCCGACTTTGTGTGCTCAGCAACCGGGTTGCATTTATGGTGTTTGCAGTGTCCTGTGATTGTACAACTGCGATTTACAATAGTTTTGCCAAACCCCAGCATTTACCTTTGATTTTTGGCCAAACTGCACCCATGGTGAACTATTGGGTCACTAAATGACCCCGGTGCTTGCTCAGTGACTACAGAAAAAAAAAAGGTCATAAAATCGGGTCAGTTTTGTGATAGATCCTATAACCGTCACGACTTATGACCATGATGGGTAGCTTCCTTATGGTCATAAGTCAAGGACTGCCTGTAAAGAAATATTTAAAAGAAAATATGTAATTGTGTATTTAAATATCTAGTGCTCTGTAAAATGAGATGCAAAATAAACAAAAAAAGGGATATAGTCATTGTAAACAGGTTAATAGTATTATGGAGAAGAAACAGATTGATGTGCAGCTCAGCTTTTCCTCTCCAGATGTGTTAGCACAGCAACTCTCATAATTCTGAGACGGAAGAATGAAACTGGGGCATCACAGTCTTGCAATGGACCACCACAACAGTTAGTTTCTCATCCTTGGCAACCTGAAAATGTGTGGACTTCAACTCCCAGAACTCCCCAGCCCCAATTCTGGGAGCTGAATTCTACACATCTTCAAGTTGCCAAGATTCAGAAAGATTGGAGTAGAAGTTATCGCTTCCTTTTATTCTGATTTTTCTTTTGTTTTATTTTATTTCTATTCTGCCTTTATTATTTTTACATATAGCTCAGGCAAACATATTCAACACACCTTCCTCATTTCCCCCCCCCCCACAACAACAACCTTGTTAGGTAGGTTGGGCTGAGAGAGAGTGACAGGCCCAAAGTTACCCAGCTGGCTTTCCTGGCTAAAGTGAAAATCACGATTTCCCGCTTCCTAGCTTTGTGCTTTAACCACTGGACCAAACTGGCTCTCTTTGTATTTTATATACATACCGTATATATACTTTATATACATATTATGTATATAATGTCAGTCTCTTTGTACTCCAAATTGGGTGAATGAACACATCCAAGATCCTAGCAGACAACCCCTTATCTAGCACAAGACTTCGACTCTAATGCCTAGGAAAAATAACAAAAGCAAGATAAATCAGAACTCTGTGCAAAAAACCAGGGCACGGTGATGCACACAGAATACAAAACTAGCAATATTGTAGATATATGCTTATTTGTCACATCTTTTTTCTGCTGCCCTTATGGGAATGGAAAAATGGTTTGGAAAACTCTTTTTTTGGCTTCTGTTCAGCCTCTGCCTTACCTGACTTCAGTTTTACTAAGTGTTGCTCTGCCAGTTTCCTATCTGTCTGTTAAACCAGAGGGACTAAGAAGAGCACTCCAAGCCGAAGCCAAAATTTCTCAGCTTGGCATAAACTTCCATGATGCAGTCAAAGAAGAATGGAATGCATGCTGTCAATAGAAAGGGCCTTCCTTTGGCTACGTTTCTTGTTGGCTTCTGTTCATGCAAACCTGTTTGTGTGTGTTTGTGTGTGTGTGTGTGTATTATACATACCATACACAGAAGTATACAAGGTCACCCAGTGGTGGGATTCAGCCCTTTGCACCAGTTCAGCAGAAACACTAGCTAATTTTTTGTTGCCCAGGCCCAGAATAAACTTCCAGAAGCAGCATCCAGACAGAACCGGTTGTTCACATATTTGAATCCAACCACTGGGGTCACCTCTATGTTCATGGCGAGTATCTCCACTTCTGAGGTTTGTGCCATGTTCTTAAGAACATTGACATCTTGCTCATCAGGCTGTCTGGAACTTTATATAATTAGTTGCCATCTTCTAGCCTTCTGTCTCCTCCAGAGTAATCAGGTTGCTTTGCTGCTCTGCATTACCCCACCCCATCTGGAAGAGGTTGGTATTATTCAGTATATTAAATATGGCACCACCTAGTGGCAGAGGCTTTGCAATTACAGATAGGCTGACGGGGGCTTTAAAGACGTCCCAGTTAGGCCAAAGTGAACCTGGTTTGGACTTGTGGGATCGCTTCTTAATTTTTTTTTAGTGGCAGGCAATTAGGGCACTTGAATTCCAACACATTTGGAGGGCACCAGGTTGAAGAAGGCTGTGGTGTTTAGCAGGCTGTTTGATTAATGGTTCAACATTTGTTGAACACCCATTGATTTCTTCTGTTCTTTTGTGACACAGCTTGGGTGATGTATACGGCCACAGGGACCTTCATCTTAGCCATCATCATTGTCTCATACCATTTGCGCAAGAGGTAGGTTCAAGCTGACTGGGAGATGTTGTGTAATTTCTTGTTCCAGTTTCTTGGAGGAATGGAAAGGATCCCTGCTGGGAGCAAGGGGTGGTGGCTTCCCTTCCTGTTTTGCAGGGTGAAAGAGAATGGATTTGGGGAGGAAATAAGTTAAGGCCCAGAGATTGAAAAGAAGGGGTGTGGAGGCTGTATGGGTACAGGCAAACTTCCTGAGCCCCATGAAACAAAAGTTGTCATCAAGCACAGACAAGCAATATAGGTAGTCCTCGACTTACGACCACAACTACAATCAGAACTTTCATCATTAAGTGAGATGGTTGTTAAATGAGTCGTGCCTGATTTTATGACCTTTTTGCTGCGGTTGTTAAGTGAATCACAAGGTCGTTAAGCAAATATGACTTCCTTTATTGACTTTGCTTATCTGAAGCTCCTTGGGAAGGTTGCAAATGACACCGGGATGCTGCAGCCTTTGTAAATATATGCCTGTTGCAAGCCCTTAGATTTTGATCATGTCACCGTGGAGAGACTGTGACAATTGTAAGTGTGAGGACCAGTCATAAGTCAGCACCGTTGTAACTCTGAATGATCATTAAAGGAATAAGTGGAGGACTACTTGTAAAGACTAGTCAATTAAGTCATTCATAGAGAAGAAAGAGAGAGAACAATACAAAATAACTGTTAGCAACAGGGGCACCTTCAGGGATCGTGAAGGTCCATTTTTGTGATCAGAAATGGGTGATCAAGTGTATAGGAAAATTTAGGCATCCAAAGTTTGCGTATAGATTTGATTTGATTTTTGATTTTGATTTTATTAGATTTCTACCCCGCCCTTCTCCTTGCGGACTCAGGGCGGCTTACAGCCCGTTAAAAACAAGTAAACAAATACAAAAAACATACCACATTTTAAAATCAATTAAAATAAAATATTGCAATAGGCCAATTAGTATCCTTTAAAACCAATAGAAAACTAATTAAAAGTAATACTTAGGCCANGTCTGGCTGACGGCACCCTGAGGAGACCCTCTCTGTGGGAGCGTATCGGCCGGTGGGAGGTAATCTGAGGCAGCAGGCGGTCCCGAAGGTAACCAGGTCCGATGCCATGGAGCGCTTTAAAGATGATAGTCAACACCTTGAAGCGCACCCGGAAGGCCACCGGCAGCCAGTGCAGCTCGCGCAGCAGCGGCGTTACATGATGCCACTGTCCATCAAGAAAGTTGTTTCATACAGATGAAAGAAAGGGGTAGTGCATCAGTGACCCTCCCAGGTACTGCTGAACTACAATTCCTAATACTCAGATAGCATGGCCAGTGCTTATAGGTGTCACTCAGCAACATTTGAAGGGCCGCATATTCCATATTGCAATTTTAAAAGAAAGATTAAGCACTACACTGCACTAAAATAATAATGTGTAGATACCAAAAGTCAGCAAATACACTGGATTTTGCCCCATTAGTCACCCTGGGAAATGTATTTGTGCAATATATTCATGAAATTTACTGTGGAATCTGACTGATACTGTCACTATAGTAATAATAAGCCTAAATGTAATATTTCCAGAACAAGCGTTTTAGTGGCACAACCATTTTGCCTCATTCATGGAATTTTAGGCATGTAGACACTGTTGCTTTTTTTTTGTAGTCTTCAAATATTTTCTCACCTCTGATTGTGCCTACCTAAAACAAACAAAATGCAATAAAAGCCTTGCTAAGGAGTAAAGGACTAAATACGAGGTAGTCCTCAAGTTACAACCACAACTGAGCCAAAATTTCTGTTGCTAAGCCAGGCAGTTTTAAGTGAGTTTTGCCCCATTTTACGAACTCTTTTTGCCAGTTGGTAAGTGAATCCTACAGTCATTAAGCAAATCTGCTCCCCTTACCCATTGACTTTGCTTATCAGAAGCTGGCTGGGAAGGTTACAGTGGTGATCACGTGACCCCCCATCCTAGATAATGCATCTGTAAATGCATACTAGTTGCCAAGTGCACAAATTCTGATCACATGACCATGGGGATGCTGCAACGGTCATAATAAGTGTGAAAAACGGTCAAATCACTTTTTTTCCAGTGCCAATATAACTTCGAATGGTCACTAAACAAATGGTTATAAGTCAAGGACTACCTGTAACTGCATGATATACTTGATTGACGGAATTTGGAACCCTCAGTTTAGAATGCTTTATCAACTACAGCAGGAATGTGGAAATAATTGGCTTCACTGATTTAATTTAGCTTCATATGAATTGGGTCCATTATCCTCCTCATCCTGGTATATATTGGCCTGATGGAAGTGGTAGTCCAAGTACTATGAGGAGGCCTATGTTAAAGTTTGAATGCTATGCCTCTAATGATGGGCAACCAATATAGTTCCAGGACCTTTCCCCATTGCTGGATTAAAGTGCTGCCTACCTGTTTTTTCCCTGAGTCACCACAGAGGGGAAAAGTAATTAAGGGAATGGCCCTGAGGGGGCAGTAAATGTTGGCCAACATTTACTGTCCCCCGAGGGCCATTCCCTCAACTATTTTTGCTACCGTACTATCTGGGTTGCCTCTGTCCAAAGCCACTGCTGAATGGCCTTGTTTTGATTTGTGAAAGAGGCAATTGCTACAGGCAATTGCCTCATTCACAAATACTATTCAAATACTCCATTTGAATATGTGACCAGGGGACTGGGAAATCATCTAGCAAAAGATGGTGGGTGCAGCCATGCAATCGAACTCCATCCCTTTGTACACATATGTGGCATTGATGAATGTATGAAAGTGGGGAAGCTTTGATTGTGAGGAGCTTTGGTGGCACAGGGGTTAGAATGCAGTATTGCAGGCTAATTCACCTCACAGCCAGGAGTTCGATCCTGACTGGCTCAAGGTTGACTCATCCTTCCATCCTTCCGAGGTTGATAAAATGAGGACCCAGATTATTGGGGGCAATAGGCTGACTCTGTAAACCGCTTAGAGAGAGCTACAAAGCACTATGAAGTGGCATATAAGTCTAAGTGCTATTTCTAAGTGCTACTGCGAGGCCATCTTGCCTCTTTTGGCCCTGCACTATAGAAGCTGTGTGTAAAATTTGGCTTGTCTTCTGTAGGCTGGTACTTCTACTCCACTCCCAAATTAAAATAATGTAAAATAAATGAACAAATAAATGAATGAGTGAGTGAAAGACATCAGGACAAAAATAGTCTCAGGGACGGAACCGCAGGTAGCGATGTCCCATAGAGAAAAGATCTGACAGACTAATTGTTGAGCAATTTCCAGAAGAGAAGAGAATGATTAAAATTGACAAATGCAGGGAAACTAGCAAATAAGCACCAGCAGCCCAATTCAGCCTCCTTCCTTCTTCTCTGCATGAAGAAAAGCAAGACTTCTACCTGCTAAAATAAAGGCAAGTTTCAAAATACAGCTAAAACAGGGAGGGATAAACATATCCCCACCTTCTTTTTTCCTAGAAAATACTGGAAGGTGGCTCTCCTCCATTTTCAAGATCAGCCACAGATAGGGCTCCAGGAAGTAATGCTCAAGCAGGAGACCCTATACCATTTCAATCAAATGGTTATCCAATCTCTTCTTAAAAGCCTCCAGTGTTCGAGCACCCACAACTTCTGGAGGCAACTTCCATTTGTTAATTATTCTCAGTGTCAGGAAATTTCTCCTTAATTCTAGCTTGGATCTCCCTTAACAGAATAACAGAATAACAGTGTTGAAAGGGACCTTGGAGGTCTTCTAGTCCAATCCCTTGCTCAACCATTCCAGAGAAATGGTTGTCCAATCTCTTCTTAAAAACCTCCAATGTTGTAGTACCCATAACCTCTGGAAGCAAGTTGTTCCACTGATTAATTGTTCTCACTGTCACCACAAGCACCTCTTTGGCTCCTGGTGAATAAAAGAAGACCCACCTATCCTAGAGATGACCCAACAAGTGATATCTCCTCTCCCCAGGCCTAAGTTATAGCCAAACTCATTTAGTTCAAGGAATTAAGCATTAATGAGGAAGACTAAGCATTAAAGGATGAGATAAAGGATGACAAATGATCAGAAGGGAGGAGGCATACCATCATCTCTCCAAACTCTCCAATCACATCAGCAACATATCAATTGACCTTATCTCCAAGATAATGGATGACCCAAAACTATCAATTTTACACATTTTGAAGGCATGGTAGAATCATTTTGGTTTATAGGGAAAAAAATAGCTAAAGGCAATTTAGAAAGACACAGGTAGTCCTTATTTAGCTACCACAATTGGAACCCACAATTCAGTTGTTAAGTGAAGTGATCTCTGAAATTACGACTGTGCTTATAATCTTACTTGAGCTCTTCTTGGCTTTTAAGACCTGCAAAGGTAAAAAATGCAAAGACTGGTGCCAAAGTTATTTTCTTCTTCACCATTGCAACCGTGAATGGCTGCTAAACAAGATAGTTGTTAAACAAATCTACTTGTATCACCAATCACCTGGGAAGGTGATGAAAACAGATGTTCCCAGAGCACGATTGTGCTCTTGTCAAGTACAGTGAGGGGGGTTGGGCATGATTGCATGGCTACTGCTGATGTCTTGCTATCAGAGTTAGCTGGCCATGTCACCTATTTCTCCCTCTTTTCCAGGACCTGCCTTTTTGTACAAAAGAAGACGGGGAATTCTTTAGTCCCATTCTCCTTCAAAGGGCCACGGAACCGCTGCCAGTGTCTTGGGGGTGAGGCCTGGACTGTAGCCTACCGACATACTCGTGTGGTGATCTGCACGACTCGTGGGGCCCCCCATCACCGTCCCCTGCACAATGGGGGTGGAGTTGCCGGAGGAGACGACGAGACCTCCTCCGATTGCTCGTGCCTATGCCACAGCTATGAGAACCTTTCTTCCACCAATCAGTCCTCTCTCAAATCTCTCATCTCCACCATCTGAGGAGCTCAGATCCTGCAGTTTGTGACTTTTACTGCCACACAGTTAAAGCGGACCTTCCTCGGTTCATTAGGGACAAAAAGACTGGAGCCTTACAATGTTTAACCACTCAAGACCTGCGGCAGTGGCTCTATAATATAATGGAAGTTGAAGCTTTTAGGCTGAGAACCACATTCCAGAAAGCCAAAGGTCACTTTCTAGCAAGGCTCCATAACAATATCCCCCCTACATCACAGCTTTCTTTGGGGCAGGAAAAGCCTGAGGGAGTGGAGACGTTCTCACCATGTCTCCTTGCGGAAGACATGTCAGCCTAATTTAATCTCAAAGCAGCTTTTATGGCCCTGGAATTTTGTAAAAAGGTCCTGTTGGACAAAGAGGACTGGTAGAAATCCCCATCATACTAGAAATATTCCTGTGGCATTATGGGAAAATATAAGTCTGTAACAAGGCACCTGTTCCTTATAACTGATGGAAGGAGGAAAACTTTGGAAGGAATGTACGCCTGGATATAGTAAGCTTGATGAATTTTTGGACACTGACTAGGGAAAACCGGTTCTCTTGTTGGTTGTAACATTGGTGAGGCATTTAGCTGCAAACACCCTGAAGACTTCGAGACCCACCCACGGAAACATTATTTACTTGGCTTCAGGGAATTTTGTAGACACACCAAAGAATGAGGAAAAGGGAAACTACAGTAGCTGTCCTGTGTTCCACAGATACAGGATAGATTTTGGAACTCTAAGCCTTCATTAAATTATTTTTGAACTGGCAAGGATGCTTCTGTGTCATCAGCTCTGTTGGGCTGTGATTCAGAGCTTGACAGATTTTCTGCTTTCCTGGACTGAGTAGGAGATACACTGGATTGTCCATTTTTCATTGAACATGACTCATTTCTCTGAGTGTTTTGTCATTAGCAGTGGGGAACCAAGAGATCTTGAATAAAAGGACAGGTTCTGGAAGAAAGTGAAGAACATTGGTATTTACCTTTACTTTCGATAATCCTGTTTCAGATTCCTGGTTTCCTACTGGACCTGCAGTGTGTTTGGGGTGAGGTGTGGTGGGGTTGTCCCTAAGGCCCCATGTGTCCTGCAGCTGTAGCCAAGTCTTGGATGGGTATGCATCCATGCTGTTCTTTTTTGAAAAAGGGGTACAGAATATAGGGTAGCAACCAAAATTCTTAGGAGCTTTGAGCAATTCCCAAATAAGTTTTTTTTTTTACAACGTTGAAATAAATTTCATGAGGAGGAAAAGGTGCGCAAGACAGGCAATAACTGTATAAAATTAGGCAGAATGGATAATCACCAATAGTAGAACATGAGTACATGCAGTGAAGCTGAACTGATAGAGGAAATATCAGAGTTCTTCATGTCACATAGTAAATCCTAACTAATGGGACAGAATCTGCTCCATACAAATAGTGTGTTGTTTTACTGAATTCTAGACTACATTGGTGATGATGAGTCTGTTAGCAGATCCTTGTGCCAAATTCTTTCAGTATTCCTTCCCTAGTCATAATGGTTGCCAGCACAGAATTGTTTAAAAGAAGGGGACAGAGTAACCTCCTACTGTTTGGAGTACCCAATAGCATCTGGTTAGCCACAATGTGAAACAGAATCCAGGGCAACTATGCAGTGTGTTTCAAAGTTGGAAACTTTTAAGATGAGTAGATTTCAACTCCCATGCCGGCTAGGGGATTCTGGGAGTTGAAGCCCACATATCCTAAAGCTGCCAAGTTTGTAAATCCGATGTAACCTATCAGGTTTTTAATAATGTATTATCTTTAGAAGAGAGCAAGAGAAGACCTTATTCTTTCAACATCTATGAAGGTCAGCTTTTTGGAGGGTGATCCTTTAGCTCTTATAATTCTGCAGCTGAGAATGAAATTTCAGACTGGGTGTGTAGAATCTGCTCCAGCTATTAACTCAAAAACAATATCCCCTAGACTTTTCCAACCTGTGCCCTCCAACTTATTGTTATACACTTTTCCCAAGGTTTAGTACAAATCAGACCAACACAACAGTTACAAAAATATATTAGTATAAAATTAGTTGATAATTAATAGCCATACCTGTAAACAAAGATTAAGGGAAACTAAGAATTACAATCCTAGCATTTCTGGAGACTTATCAGGTTTGGGAAAGAGTGATGTAAAGGATTTGTCTGAAAGGGCATCCTTTGTGTGTCCCAGGAAGGAACAATATTAATTAGAGAAAATCTGTTTGTGTGTGCTTTGTGTGCATGTATGTGTGTGTGTATGTGTGTAATTCTTCAGGAACAGAATGTACAGAATGTTTCAGTTCCAATCATTTTAATTTCAGGATCTTCAGCCATGTTTACATATGTGCCACTTTGTCAATAATAGGAACAAGAGCCCAGCCTTTGAAACCCTTCAATGACTTGTAAAAAGATGAGTCTAGACATTTTTAAGACTGAAAGAGAACAGTGTGCTTCTTTGCGTAAAGACAATCTCAAATCCCCTTATATATTTTGAATGTTATAGTTGTGCTGTCACCAAGACTAAATCTAAATGTAAGACTATGACTCTGGGAGCTGTGGGCTCAGCCCTCAAGTATGTGAAACAACAAAAGTGCCTCTGAACATCCGTAAAGTGCTTTCCCTCAACAATTAGCAATTACGTCAAGTGCCTAGGGCAGCATTGTAAAAGAAGGGCTGGCAGATTTGTCGCTTGACAGGCTCCACCCAATGTTGGTTAGCTCTCAGTCTTAGAATCATTTTGTGGCAACTGGAAATGATTACAAGGCACCATTTCCAATTTCCTGGAAGGATGCTGAAATGGTATTCTAGGAAGTGTGGATAGCAGTCCATTGGACAGTTTTAAATAACAAACCATTCATGGAATGAGATTCTTTTTCACAAAAAGGGACCTAGGTTAATGCCTCATTCTTTTTCCATTTTTTTAAAGGTTTACTGAATCCCTAGGGCCTTATTTTAGAAATATTAACTGCAAAGTCTATCTACATTCAAATATATTTGGTATTTGTTCTGTCCTTTCAATGAATTAAATCCATATCCGAAACTTTATCAGGCCAACTCCTCTTGTCATCCTCTTGTATATAATTGAAATTTGTTTAATTATTTAACTTATTATGAAATAATTGTGCCGCATGTATATTAAGGAAAACATAATAAAGCAGGTAGCCATTAAAATTAATTGTGTGATCTGGATATGGGCCTGATCTGAAAGTACAGATTGGTTTATTTAAGGAAGCAGGTTCATGTTCAGAAGTGAGCTTTGTATACAACAGTAAATCTTTTAAAAATGTTCCTACTGAAATGAAAATTGTCTTCTTTCCTGGAGGACGATAGAATCTACCATACACAAGGAAAACAAGTCATCTTGCTGATACCAGCATTCTGGTGATGGTGTAACACAATCAGCTGAAGAACCCAGCTGCTCTGCAAGCTTCAGAAAAACATTATTCTGTGTGCATCAGGGGAAAGAGACATTTGGCCTTCCTTGACCTTCAGCCAGGGAATAGAGAAGCTGATGCCCCCTCTGCATCCCTGTCTCCTACGGTATCTAGCAAGTTTCTGAAAACAGTTTGCAAACCCCATTTGGTGTGATCAGTACAGAAAAAGAGTTGACTTAGTTGACTGGGAATGGCTTGCAAAACCAACAAATTCTGGTATAGCAAGTTTCATATCCTGCCAATCCCTCAATTCCATAGTATACACGTACAGCTTGCATCAATCAGATATACCAGATGTTCCAGAAATGCATATATTGTATTAATTAAATGCTAAAGGCAGGGATGTTTTTCTGTTAGTTACCTTAGACTTTCACAGTAACAGATCAACACCTTGGAACAGGTTTTATCTGAAGTACACTTTTTCTTGACCCACTTTGCATTTAGAAAGACTTCAAATCCTACTTTATTTCAGTGGGCCTTAGGACCATAATTTGATTGTAGGCAATCACAGATGATTTTCATGGTTGCTTTTAATTGAAATGTTATAGGTAAACCCCACTTAATGTCTATTCATTTAGTGACTGTTCGCAGCTATGACAGCACTGAAAAAAAAGACCTATGACCAATCCTCGCACTTACGACTGTCACAGCATTCTGCAGTCACATTATCACCATTTGTGATCTTCCCAGCCAGCTTCCAACAAGCAAAGTCAATGGGGAAATCAGCAGGGAAGGTTGCAAGTTGCACTCGTGGTGTCTCACTTAATGACCACAGTGATTTGCTTAATGGACATGTCAAAAAAAGGCTGTAAAATTGGGGGTGATCATGTGATGCCTCATTTAATGACTACTATTTAATGATGAATTTTCCTATCCCCTTTGCAGTCTTAAGTTGAGGATTATCAACTACACTTTGTACACTTTTATTTATTTCCCTTTGTGTGCACTACTTAAAGTATAAAAAAATCTATGGGGGATGAGGAATGAAATAGTGAATTATGTATGTTGTGACATTGTGATGCAAGCTCACAATGTGTATTTGGGTTAGATGCTAAGACACAACTGAGCAGATACTGTGCATTGGCCCAAATATATGACTGGGATCGCGTACCCTTCATTTGACAAGATTCAAAACTGACACAATCAAGAATAAAGAAATCCAACTTTTTCACATGAATAGGAGTAATATAGTCGGTTTCTCATAAATGTGAGCATTTTGTGGGTGAATGGAGAAAGAACCCAGACCTTGTTTCAAAAATTATTACCAATCAAAAATAAGTGAAGGAGTGCAATTCCACAAGCTGCATTAATTTTGTATCTTTCTTTTATATAAGGAGAATCTTCTACAGTATATGATTTGAATTCTCTCCTTCCACAGTGGGAGAATAGTTTACAAACTAGGTATTTCTTGTCCAAAGTCTATTTCTGCCAGACACCCACTCTGATCTCAGATAAATCACTGTCAAGGAGTCAGCAATTTGAGGAAAATGATATGTGATTAGATTACTATATAGGGCTGTTGGTAGTATTATTGAGGCCTGACCTTTTCTGAATTTGATAGCTTAAGCAAGTTCAGATCTGGTTAGAATTTGGAATTGCAGGCCTGTGTATTGGTCTTAAAAGAAAGCCTTATCAGACCAATTCTGTCTAGCTGCAAAGAAAACTGCATGCCTGTAACATGCATTGGCATTTTTAAAAGCACAAATAAATCTTCTAAATAAGGGGGAAAATTCTATTAAATTCTATTAAAATTTCTTATTGAAGAAATCTTATAGAATCACAGTCCCAAAACAGTCTGCTGGCTTCAAAACTCAAAGCGGTTTCACCAGACTTTTATTTATGATGAGCAATTTGGAAACCTGAACATGCTTTTGTAGTCTTTAATTGGCTTTTTTGTGGAATTGTTTTAAAATGAGTTTGGGGATAATCTACGGGAGAAAAACTCCCCACCATCCAGTCACAGCTGAAGAAGTTCAGTTGCCTCTTGAAAAAGCACCTTTGAGACAACCATGACCTGGATCACAGGTATCAAACTCGATTGCGTCATATGACATATCGTGATGTATCGTGACGGTTTTTGCCTTTGCAGAGCTGGGGTGGACATGGCCTGCGCGTGATGCATCCGGCCCGTGGGCCACCAGTTTGACATCCCTGACCTGGATGACTGAGAATCTCCATAGACATACAGGAGAAAAAGTCTTCTACAAATAATTTAAAAAGTAAATGCATCTTATAACACAAAGATGAAGAAAAGTAGTCATAGAATCATAGGGCTGGAAAGGACCTTGGAGGTCTTGTAGTCCAACCCGCTGCCCAAGGCAGGAGTCCTGGTTTAATAATAATGGACCTCCTATATTGTAATATTGTACAAGTAGTCCCTGACTAACAACAATTCGTTTAGTGACTGTTTAAAGTTACTACAGCACAGAAAAAAGTGACCTATGATTGTTTTTCACACTTATGAACATAGCAGTATCCCCATGGTAATGTGATCCAAATTCGGATGCTTGGCAACTGGTTCATATTTATGACAGTTGCCAAGTCCTGGGATCATGTGATCAGCTTTTGCAAATTTCTGGCAAGCAAAGTGAATGGGGAAGCCGGATTCACTTAACATGCAATGATTCACTTAACAACTGTGGCAAAAAAAGGTCGTAAACCGGAGCAAAACTCCCTTAACAAATGTCTCACTTAGCAACATAAATTTGGGACCCAATTGTGGTCATAAGTCGAGAAGTCTCTGTACATTCTACGTTGTAATAGAAATATGATATAAAATAGATTATTATTAAGACTCTATCGAATAGTCTTCCTCCAAGAAGATGTAGGACTGTTGAGGCGTCCAGGCTTAATTACTGTATAGTACTTTCCGATTAATTACGATTTAGAATCCTATGGTGTTAATCTTACAACCCTTTCAGCCTTTGGAGGGGCGTCTTTTGCCTGTTTCGGGCCATCTTCCGCGCACGCCGCGCTACCCAATCACAGTCCTCCCTGGGAGGAGACTGAGGGCGTGTCTCAATGCTTATGCAAAAAGCTGACGCTTATTAAGAGCGGGCAGCGATGCGAGGAGGGCCTTCGGTTATGCTAATAATAGAACGCTATAGTTTTCTTCTGGGCAGCTGATAGGCTCTCAAAATAGAATAGGTGTGGTTTGCATCTCTACATCCTATAGTATTACGCAACGCATAGAATCCTGGTTCGGACAACTGTGCCTTACCGAACTGCGGTGCAGAGATTATGCAAACGAGACGGGGGACGGTGGGCGCGGCTTGCATAAGAGGATGCAATGGAGAAGGGCAGGGCAACGCGCCCGCAAGAAGCGCGGGCAAAGGCGGCGGGCGACACCCGCATCTATTATGCTAATGAGGTCGGTGGGCGGGGCAGAATTGTGAGCTCAGGCTGCGGAGGGGAAAAGGAGCGGGGGGAAGCCCAAGGAGGAGTCCCCCCCTGCAGCGGCCCCATCAGCAACGGCAGAAGCAGGAGGAAGCAGAGCTAGAAGGATGCAGAACCCGGATAGTAGCTGACCCTGGGGGGGGAGCCCGGCCATGGCTTTCCTGGGGGGAGCCCGGCTCCTGGACTGGGCCAGCTCCCCCCCTCATTTGCAATTCAACCGCTTCGTGCTAACGGGCTACCGGCCGATCAGCTCCGGGTCCGGCTGTCTCCGCAGCCTCTTCTACTTGCACAACGAGCTGGGCAACATCTATACCCACGGTGAGATGCGGCAGATTCTCCTCCGACCCCATGCTTGCTTCCCCTAATCTTCTCTCCCCTCCGCTTCCGGGCTCCGATGCCCTCCGATCTCCATGCCCTCCCTGCAGGGCCGTTCCCGCCGTTGCCCTGGCCGCCATCCCCGCTTTTGCCCATCCGGAGAACTCAGGAATTGCGTGGGGCATCGGGAGGCTTCCCCGTCCGTCCCGCAGCTTCAGCCGGTCCCGTGTCCTTGGGTGGCTCCTGTATTTCATAGGATGAAAAAATTAAGTGACAGCACTGATTTTTTCGGATGCCGGCCATCCCATAGAGCCAGTATCCCGATCTCCCTCTTTCAGGGTCTGGATATGTTATTTCCCACCTGTAAAAGAAGACATGGAACCAACCCCTTCTGCTTCCACCCCCACCCCCCCACCTCCTACATTTATAATTCAGCCCAGTTAAATACTAAACTCCACTATACAGTATTTGGCAGCCCAGTACAGTAGTAATACCCTTGGAATCACTAGCCTGCTGGCTTAGCTTTCCGGCACTGCATCCTCAGACACACATTGCCAACCAGCCCCCCCAGCTGAGGTACCTAATTCTTCTTTGCACACACACATGTTTTTCTCTAGACTTTTTCAACTTTGGATTATTTCCCCCCCTCCCCCTTGCTGCCAAGTGAGGGATTCCTCCTACAAGATGGCAAAGAAGGCAAGTTTGCCAGACTTGGGACAAAGTTGTGCAGGGAAGCGTGGCCATTGAGTTGTTCAATTGTAGCAGTGCCCTGCCTTCTCCCAGAAAGGTTGCTATGAGAGCCTTTAATTTGGATTCCATGGGATTCAGTGAGCAAACGTCTGAGAAAGGTTAACTTTGCACTTTGTACACTTAAGGCCTCGGGTTCAATCCCTGGCATCCTTGTGTAGATTCATTATCGGCTCTCCTACCTTCCTGACCCTTGATCTGTGGCATTTTAGTATGCATCCTGTCCTGGACTTAATTCTGTAATTTTCATCCCTCACAAAAGAGCTTGAATAAGGAGCCTGCAACATTTAAATGTTGCTAAACCAAAACTCTGATCAATGATAGTGTTGCTAGGAATTGTACTTAGTTGTATTTAGAGGGTTGCCATATGCCCATTTATCATCAAAAAGTGAATAGGAATGGGTTGTTTTAGAATTTTGCCTAAGTTCAAGGAAGCAAAGAAAGCATTGGTTTCTCTGAATTTTTTCCTGACACTACTGGGCTAAACGTTCCATTGAGGGTTGAGAGCCTTACAAAGACCTCCACAAAAGTGACCACTCCTCATCATTCCCCCCCCCTTACTACATAGCTATGTGAATAATTTTGTGACATGTTGATGATACTGAAGCAAACTTGGCCTGGCCCAGCTATGCTCAGAAATAAATAAATAAAGACTGCCAATGAAAAATTCTGACTTTTCAAAACATGACATATATTCAATAGTCTGCATCACTTTGCAATCTGTTGTAAGCAAAAATACTGCAATTAAAATATATGGGGCGGGGGAAGAATGCAAATGGAAATAGGTTTTATTTCTTTTACTTCAAACTGATGAAGCAGATCTACTGTACGGTATTTGGAACTCTCCTGCTCCTTCATTTGAGTAGAGACCTAACAGGATCATTTGTACCACTGCTTTGGTACCTTTCCTATCTTTGTTGCCAGGTTGCAATAATAAAAGCAGGGATCCTCTTGAACATAGATTTGCGTTGAATCACAAATTAAGGAAATCTGTTTTGGGCTGTCGATTGGAAGAAAAATATGCATAAGTATCTAAAGCAATTTTTGAGAATTGAAAGGATGTTGTGGTGAATGTTTCATTAATTTTTATAACATCTTTGTAAACTAGCTTCATCCCCAGATTCCTGATGTTTATGAAAACTGTTGTGAATACTTGGCTGTGGTGATAATTTGAAATGTGAATATCCTTGCTTGTATTTTAGTTATTCTATTGCATTAATTTACTGTTGAAGAAAAACCATGGTTTGCAACATATAATTTATTCTAAGGCTTAATCAAGTGCTGGAGTCTTTGCTGAGTTCAAGGAAATGCTGCTGCCTGTTCCTAAAAATATATATTGTACTGTAAGGCCTTTGTATTATGAACCAATTGGGAAGACCGTGTCTGTTTGAATGTATTTAACTACATAACTACATAAATTATACATATTTTAATATAATTTATGTAACCTCCCCACCCACACAAACTTTATGTAGAATGGTTCACCAAACACTGGACTTTGTCCATTGTTTAAGGAAGCAACATATATTCAGATTTTGTTTGCTGCATCCAAAGTACACTGAATGGAATAGTATGTCATAAAATCAAAGTTTTACTCTTTCATTTTTAAAAAGGTTCTAATGTTAGAAATAAAACCATGCAGGCAGAAGTCTACAGCTAATTCTGTAAAAAAAAAATATCAATGTATGTTAAAAGATTTGTGTAAGCTATTTTTAGATGCATTCTCATTTTATCTTCAAATACTTGGCCCTTCTTACTACAAAAGTTGTGATCCAATTTCAAAATCTAGCTTTTAACGTGAGCATGTAAAGAAATAATACCTATGTTCCTAATGGATGCAGCCACCATCCTTTAGGAATTGTTTGAGGATCCTGTGTATGTGATTTTGCTTTTCGTTATGTAAAAGAGATAGACTCTCAATATATCACATTTATTTATACAGGGCAGTACTTAAGATGTTAGACTTGTGATACCAGATATTAGTCCTCTTCAAAGACAAAAGTTCCCCAAATCACTTAAAATCGGTCATTTTCTCTCAGCCCAACCTATTTTCCATAATCAGTACTGAGAAACATTGGACGTGTGTGTACTTACCCTAAATTCCTTGGGAAAAGGCAGGGAGTTAGATATATTTGTTAGACAAAAATCTAATCAATGAATAGCATGAAATAAAATAAAGAAATTAAGACAGGTGTCTTCAAGAACTGAACTTCTGCAGTCTTCTTTAAACAGCAGCCAGTGAGCTAAGATTATGTAGGAAACTAATGCCTTTTTTGTTGTTTCATTATTTCCTGTAAGAAAATGAGAAGAATTGTGTTTCCGCTGTGGGCAAATACATTAGTCTGGAATAATAGTGTGGAACAAATTGTCTCAGGACCTTGCAAATTTCCTTTTGCTAGCTGTTCTGGTAAGTCAACCAATGAGGGCAGCTCTTCCTGACCTCTTATGCCTAACCAACCAAGGTGCTCAGGAAAGTTGTGCAAAGTTGCTGCTTATTGTTGCTCATTGTGGGGAAAGAAGAAAGCAGAATGCTTCCTTTCTTAAATGGTTTTCTTGTGGGAATAGCTTTCCCCATTCTGGCTCCCTTCCAGCATGGAGACTACAGCTCCTTTGTCCTCCTCACCCTACCAGATCACTGGGAGCAAAAAAGTATTTCTCAACCTCAGCAGTTTTAAGGTGGGTGGACATCAGTTCTGGGATTTCAAGTCCACACAGCTGAGGTTGAGAAACACTGATTTGGAGAATCCACCTTGGGAAATGTTGGCTTAGAGGTTCTCCATCTTTGTAAGGATAGTATGGGTTCATTATTTTGTTGAATTAATTGATATATTGAGAGTTATTTTTCATGGATTAAGAGATGTTTGACTTCTGGGGCCACCACAATTGATCTTAGGTATTTTACAAGATTGGGGTTGCAAAAGCTTCCAGTCTACTTGTGTCAAAGAAATCAGGGGTGTGATAGGACTTTTTTCCACCTAACAAAATATACTAAGAAGTATCAGCTCTTGTGCACTGCAACACATGTTTAAAATGCATTGTTTGGAAAAGATCCTACCAAACTCCTGATTTTATGGCCACCACAGACTAACCAGTTCTCCTCCTATCATATCTAAAACCTAAATGGTGTATATTGAAAGAATCCGTGGGTTGAAGCTGAATCCTCTCTAAAACTGCTTCCAGAGTTAGCCTTTCCCCCCCCCCTATACACTTTGTTTAAATGAACCCATTTCAATGGAGTCCATGTTATCTTCCCCACCAATCCCACAGTGCATTTTTCAGGTGCATCTTGGTCATCAGAAATGTTCAACAAACCAGAATGTAGGAAGCTGGTTAGCCTGCACTCTTTTGGAAAAATGGCATATCAAGTGCTCTAATAGTGTCCTTGAATAATAAGCTTTTCCTTGATGTTCCTGGGCCGGTCAGCAAGAGCATCATAATGAGAAAAGGTATTGTTCTCAGTCCGCTGATGTCAAATGAGGGCAGGGAAGAACAAGAGAACAGAGGAGCAGTTGTAGTTGCCTAAGCATGTTGAACGGCATCGGTAGGAACACAGCAGTAAGCATTTGCTGGCTAGATGACTTTGAACAATATATGTAGCAACTTCCAAAGTTCTCAGAAAACATCCTGGGCAGTGCTTAGCTGCTTTAAGAGGGGTGGACTTCAACTCCTAGAATTCCCCCAGCTAGCATGCTGGCTGGGGGAATTCTGGGAGTTGAAGTCCACCCCTCTTAAAACAGCTAAGATTGAGAAACACTGTGGAGATATCCCTGAGGATGGGTGTGTTGGTGCACGTTGTTTAATGAATCACCATCTTACAGAGAAGACAGACATTTAGTTTTCTTCCCTATAATAAGAAAAAAAAACCTGCCCTGGCTTAGTGCATTATTAGCGTCCAAGTTCCTAAATGGAAAGACTTCCTTCTACATTGTTTTCTTTGTCAAGGCAACGCCAGCCTGCCTGCTAAGAAATCTGTGCATATTGCAAAGGATTCTGGGAAGGGGGAGCTCCCAGGCATGCTGGATAATGGTGGGCATGCAGTCTTTTCATCCAGATTATTCCATCCCTCAGAAACAATTTGCATCTCCGGATTTGTTGGGGATGGCCTAAATTTCGGAATTTCAGCCAGCATGGCCAAAAGGAGGCTGAGAGTTCTGGGAGTTATAGTCCCTCACAGCTGGAGGGTCCCAAGTTAGGGAAGATGATCCTAAAGAAACTGTGTATGTGTGTGTGTGTGTGTGCGCACGCACGCGTGCGGG